GGCCGTCGTGCGCAGGCGGCTTGCGCGCGCCGTTTTTCAGCGCGCGCCCCCGCCTGGCCCTGGAGGCTGGCGCGGCCGCGCGCAAACTCGGCTGCGCCGGCTGCGTGGCGCCGCGGCCTCGGCCGCGGGCCCACGGCCGGCCTCCTCGGCCGCGGTCGAGGGGGACACATAGGTGCAGCGAAAAAAGGCAGAGGAGGCGGACCAGAAAGAGGTGCCAAGGCGGAGCACCACAAAGAGGCGGAGGAGAAGGACCAGCAAGAAGATAAGGACGACAAACATGGAGCAGCAAAAAGAGGTGGAGATGGAGCACGAAGAAGAGGACAAGGAGATGGAGCATGGAGAGGACGAGGAAGGGATGGAGAGGCAACGAGAGCAAGAGCACATGGAACAGCAAAAAGAGTCGAAGGTCATGGACCAGCAGGACATGCAGGCTGATGCAGCACAATGTGATGAGGAGGACGGCGAAGAGAAGCACCAGCTTGCAGTGAAGACTGTGTATGCGCGTAGGCAACGACCGGTTGTGTCCACACAGTCGGTCGAGGACATACCCTACTAAGCCGACTTCCCTTCCAGCAATGAGGCTGTCCAACATGACAACCTGTGGGTGAGCAGGGTGGGGAGGAAGAGAAAGGAACCGATGGAGGATGCTGTTGCAAAGCCTAAACGTGCTCGCGGCAGGCCCCACAAGCCGAAGACTGCTGAATTCGAGGGATGCCACTCCAAGCGCGAATGAGACTCCAAGCGCGAATGAGGTCGCCGTGTGTGTGTGTGTGTGTGTGTGTGTGTGAGAGAGAGAGAGAGAGAGAGAGAGACTTTTGTAATCATTTGTGGAGCAATGTGGACGTGCTCTCTCCAAGCTCTTTTTTTTTTTTTTTTTCGGTCTTGTCGTTCCCGTACTCCTCCTCCTCCTCTTCTTCTTCTTCTTCTTCTTCTTCTACTTTTTCTTCGACCTACACACCTGCAACAAGTCTCTGAGTCTCTGACATACCAGCAAGACAGTTCAGATCACCTGCTTTCACCCACTGTCAAACGCCAACCCCCGCCCCTGAAACCCTGAACCACCACCCCCAAAACCCCCACTGAGACCCCTGAAACCCCGCCCCCCCCCGGCCCCCACTTCCCCAAGGGCCCCAAGTTCACTTTTTTATTGTAGATTCGGGGTCCTCTAGAGTAGCGCAGCAAAACCCCAGCAAATTAAAAATAGAAAAATTCCCTGCTGAGTTTTGGGGTCGCCTGGATTTTCCCGGCGGACCCCCCCGGGCCCGCCCGGCCGGGGGACGCCCAGCCAGGCACGCCCAGCCAGGCGGCGGCCCAGCCTACTAGTCTTTTTGCGTGTGTGCGCGCATGGAACACACAGGCACACACGCACACACACACACACACACACACACACACACACACATATCAAGCTCCTGATGAGCCGGTGAAGTCCAACGAAACAGTCTGGCACAGTCAATGACATGCGTTTTTTGAGTGTATAGCGAATATGACAACACACATAAACACACACACACACATACATACGGGGATTTTTTTAATTTTTTTTCTCAACGCAGTGCTCTCCACGGTAGCTTCCGATGCGCGCACAGCAGCGGGGGGCGCGCGTCCGAT